GCTTACAATATTTTTATTTCTAAGGCTAAAAAAATGTACATAACTGATCACATGTTTTTTCCATATTCTTTTCGAACACAATGTTAAAGATTTCCTGTTTTTAAAATGACATTTACACGTCTTACTTTGTTAGGGAGATTTATTAACCATTCACACTTTTTTAATAAATTCATTTATTGTGTCCCAGTACTGGCCCATAGTGCAGCATATTCTACACTTGCCATAATAGTTATCAACAACAACGTACTTTGTTTTAATATGTTTATATTATAATCTGCCATTTTAATATACCTACAGTAAAACTAAATAACTACAACCTTATTCTTCAACACAAATATTTGACTATTCAATATTATCACAAAATACAACTTCAACATTTATTTAAATCTTTATGAAACAGTTTTATAAGAGAATAAATAAATTATTCTTGGAGTAACAATCTAATATTATACGCCTCAACGCTCTGCTTAACGAAGTAAAGCTTGACTTCAGTTATCCTATTGAAGTGTCTTTTTAGTGTATAATTTAACAACTCATAAATTAGAAGGACTACTTGCATTTTTATTGAAGTTGTTATAAAAAACATAATTCAGTTCAAACAAATGTATTAATGATCATTTTGTACTCTTCTCCTACCTGGCAAGTTCCCGGCTTTAGCCAGGGTCTGCCTTACATGTTGTGAATAATTTCGGCTAATTGTTTTTTACGACCGGCCGCCTGCCTGACATCAACCCTCTTTTGGGAATCAGCATTAATTAGTGGTGTCTAAATATTATTAGAAAATAAATATGACTCGGAAAAATCACATTGGTACTTGCCCGGGCCAGGATCGAACCCGCACCCTCGACAACGAGAGGCGGACCCTCTAACCATTAGGCCACCACTGACTTAAGCAAGTAAACATTTTGTAAAAGTTAACATTTTGTTCAATAAAACATAAATAAAATAAAAGTTGTATATGATATATTCTTATAAATCTGGTCAAGTTAAATATCCATTAATCATTGTCATAAACCTTCCAAAATTTGGCCACCAAGAACGGTTGAACTTTTCCGGACCCTGCTTTGGAGCAAGCGACCCTTTGTCCCATATCTTAGGACACACCTAAACTCCTTTAAAAAACACATAGTAATAGCAAAGGGAATATAAAAAGAAACATTGTAAAGCAAGATTATTATCTTGAACGCTCATTGTTTACTTTATTATATATTTGAGAATTCTAAATTAATGACATATATATGTAAATACTTACAGAAAATATAAAGACCAAAATATAATAACTATACAATAGTTTTTATGACTTCATTTGGGATGTATATTAAAATAGATTAAACTGTCTCAAAACAAAGTGACCAAATTCATTCAGTCATTACAAATAATTTACCTATTTTATTTCATACAGACTTTCCCGTTTTCACCCAGTTTTAATTTTGAAATGTGAACCTTAATATATAAATACATAAGCATTTGTATTTGTTTTTCTAAAACTCCGTCGAAGCTACTGAATAAAATATATTCATATAATTCAATAATTTTCAAAGACTCTGTCGTGAACTATTTTCACGGTTTTTGGAATTGATTGAATTATTTTTTATGAATTAGGTCAATTGGATCAATAGTATTGAGATTCTGAACTCCTTATTTCCACAAAAACATACTTCAAAATTCCTTGCATATACCTCAGCAGCTACCTTTTTTTACCACAACAAAACGGTCTTTATAATTTTAAACAATAAAAATAATAACTGATCCTAAAAATATACATTTCATAATTATTTTAATCTTTCTTTTGTATAACTTAAAGATTAAAACCCCATTAATTTTATTATATTTTTGTTGTTTTATATAAAAAAAAATCCAGAACAGTTTGATAACAGTTTTTGTTCGTATAAAATCTATTGAGTAATCACTGAATCAGTAGTGACAAATTTTGTAACCCACATTGTATGTACATATGTGTCGTATTTGGAAGAACAATTATGGCAATCGAAAATGGGCGCAACCATTTATTGTTTGGACTTATTATTGAATGCTTTATTCAACCATGAGAGTTTGGAAAACCAGACTGAATAAATGACTACCAATTTGACAGAACTATGTAGTTTCAACGAGATTGTTATCACTTATTAACAGTTAATTTTGGGTAGTCCTTGATAAGAGGCGCTTTAAAAAAATCAGTACTCTATAGTATAATATCATTCCTACATTGATATAAGCTCTAAACAAACCTAATTACACCTTGTAATCTATATACAAGAATCTATATTTAACATTCATTGTTGATTTAATTATAAAAATCATCACCTTTAAAATATAAGACCCTAAGACCAAGAAAAATTATTATATTACAAAAAATGTTATTCGATATAAATATTTATCCTACATCCTATTGGTTCAGAAAGGTAGAAATTTTGAATTGATATATAAACTTTTTGTTACAAAGTTATGTCGTTTCAACAAACAATATTCGGAACCATTTCAATTAAAAGTTTGACATGATTTATCTCAAGATTTAAACACGTTATATAGCAAATCAAATAAAATAATGTGGTACATTTAAATGTAAGAAAAATTGTGAATTAAATTATTGGTATGAATGTTACTGAGGAAATTATTTGTTTTAATATCTTCATATATAAATTCTTGTCACTAAATTATCACAAACGAACGTCATACAAAAAAAAATACTACATTACTTTTATACAACACACGAAAGATGGTTCTGACCAATTATTTCCTTTTGTTTTAGAGGTTTAAAATTCGAAAAGATAATGAAATCTCTATGGAGTCCGGCTTTCTGGTGCCCGTGTTTAGACTTTTTTTAAATCTATCTCACGTGCCACAAAGTATATTCTGACTGACAGAATAACAACTTTTTGCACTTTTTCTTTTTTGTTTTTAATGTGTTTTATGGATTTATTTCGAGTGAGTTTGTAGAATGTTTAGACAAATATTTTATATTACATATAATTTAATTTAAAATCATACAAACTGACCTTGTGATAGTTGTTATCTTATTATTATGTATCTTGACATAAGATATTTGCTCTTTAGATGCAGTAAGATGCTGTCCTTATCAGATTTTAAAAGTTATATAAAACATTTTTAAGCAATATTATACAGAAATAAATCAATATTCTTTTTATATTGAACTCTCAAAATATCTATCTCACGAACTCTAACTGAAATGGAAACTGTATTATCATTAAGAATATTTAAAGAATATTTCGATGTCTCCCACGTAAGTTATTGTATGCCGCAAAATGCTATTTTGCTTTTTTATGAAAAATATTCTATTATTATTGATCATTACATCCATTCAAATTAAAAAAACAACAAAAACACTATTTTTAAAGAATTTGTCAGACGCATAATGTTGTAATTTTCAAACGCGAACGGATTAAACTGATGTATATTCCTATGCAATTGTTTACGCGGGGCGCGAGGTGGGTAAAATCACGCGCTCACGCAGCGTATGAGTTACATACAACAGAGTAAGACTTATATTTTTCAACGTATACAGTTGTAACTATCATATACCACAAGTGACACTACCTGGGCACCGCGGTATAATGTTGTAAGTATCAGCTACAACACCTTTTTTTCTACTTCTACTCCGGAGTAAAATGTCGTATGAACGATATAACAACAATATCTCCGTAAATAGGCATATTAATTAAAATATCTTTTAACGTAGTTAAGAAGACTATTATGTTAAATTTAAATACAAAACTTTAAAAGGATGCATCAATAAATGCAGATTTTGGTTTAATTTGAATCTTTGAAACGTTCTACTGTAAAATTACAGTTTTGGAGATACAACAACTTACGAGAGAGGTATCGATTTATATATGTATGTATATAATTATTATTCCACAACAAAACATATATAATGTTGAATTGTCTGAAACTTTATTTATTTGTTTTATATAATTATTATACAAGGAAGTTGTAGAAATCTTTTTTGCTTGAAAATTATAATAATAATAATGTTTAATTATCTCAAACATATTACGATTGTATAGACATTAACATAATCTGATCACAATGCATAAAGGTAAAAGGTATTATATGTAATTGAAATCTACTGTCCCTGTATTTCAGGCGACAGTACTCTCCTGTTGCAAAGGATTCATTTTACCAATTTTACTAAAGTGGAATAGCGAAAAAAGTCAACACAATATAGTGAATGCTAAGCATTATCGTTAGTTTTAACTTAGTATCTAGTATAGTAAAATAAAATTAGTGGTATGTGTAAATTTGAGCATGAGTATGTATATTTGAGATGTTTGTGTGTATGTGAGCGTGTGTGTATGTGTGTGGGTGTGTATTTGTGTGTGCTTTCTAGGAACCTAAGACTTCAAGCAGCTTTTCAGTTTCATCGTACGACTTTGCTAGCAACCATTCTTTTAATATTTTTTTACATTTATTTCTATTAAGATGATACTCGTATATATTTATAAGTTTGTTAATTTTATTGTATAATCTGGAGCTAATAATATAATAACGTCTCCCTGCAAGTTTACTTCTGTGTTTTTCAATGAATGTGGAGTATTATATCTACTCTCCTTTTATCACGATTATCAACATAAGTTAGGGTATTGTGTTTGCGTAAAACATTTTCATAAATAAACAGTTGACGAACGGATAACACCTTGCAATCATTATATAATTCGTTTGTCGGATATCTGTAGGGTCTTTAGTCATCACTTTCAAGATAGACCTTTGGGCTCTTTCTAGCTGTAACAGTGATGTTTTATTGTTTCTTCCCCATACTGTTATACAATACATAAGCAATGATTGAACTATAGCAAAATATACCATGAAGATAGTAGATCTTTCCGCGGAAGCTCTGAGATTTTTTAATTTATGTATATACTAGTTTTCTTATTTTAGTAGTTAAAATAATTATGTGTGACTTCCAAGACAAAGAATTATCAATTAGTAGTCCAAGATATTTTATATTGGAAGCATACTCTACAGTAGGGCAAGAACAGTTGATGGCATTTAGTGAGTCACAGTTGTGTGCTTTTAAAATACATTTATGCGCATCAGGTAGAGAAGAGCTGGATGACGAAAAGGTGAGGAAATTACTTTTGTTAATGTTTAAACTCAATAAATTCGCTCACAACCAATCTGATGAATTAAAAAGATGTATCTATTGAATCTCGGGTAGGATAGTTGAATGATTAAGGAACTGCGATATTCAGTAAGTAGCAACTCTGAATACTTTTACTTTACTTTTTGATTTAATATTATTTATTTCATATTTCATCACTATATTATTAAATATCCAAAAAAATATCTTATATCTTTTCAAAGCCTTGAAGGGAGCTTTAACATATAAATTGAATACATTATTTTCACAATACTAAGCCTGTGTATCAGTCAAATCACAATATAGCAGTACATTCAACATGGTCTTGTTGCAGCTGTTTCGAATGTCTGTTATATTAGTCACAATCACTCTTGGTTAAGCCTCCATCAGTTATAGGATGAATGTTCCCATGCTCTTTGGTATATTTACACATGTTTATTATGAACTGTGATATATATTATAATTCCGTTTTGAACACAGAAACTTAATCTGTAATTCAAATGGATCCATTAATATTTTACTGTGTTTCGTAAGTTGAAATTGCTTTTTTTTGAGAAAAAGTATCAAATAAATCAAGTCACATTTTCTTTTATAATCCGTGAATGGACTTCATAATCTGATAGCGTAAGTTGGCACGAGTAAATCACTTCAGCGTACGAGTCACAAGGGATATTGTTTGAAAATTTGTTAGAGGTAAGTGATTGGTTTCTTTGTAAAAGAAAACGAAGTTGTTGAAATACTTTTGTTGTATATTGTTATTTTTTTTTTTAGTGATATACAATTTAAATAAAATAAAGAGGTAGGCCTCGGTATATTACTTTTTTTGTAGTGGATCCGTTAACAAAGAGTTGTTTTATACACTAACCATAACGTCGATTAGGTTGCTAATGTTCATTTCCAAATAGGGCCTAACGTAAGATCTGAAAGGTCGAGGATTATGTCCATCACAAGGATGCCTGCAAGAGGCAGAACCTTAGCTGAGGATGTGGTTGGGGCAGCATCAGTCCATGGGACAACATGCCGTCTCCAAGCATGACATAGGACAGAAATCCAAATGACATATCGCAGTCTAGAAAAATATCTCTGAAATTGCCTTCAGTTGTGTAAGAAATTAAGATGCTTCTGGAGGTCAGAATTTCTGATATACTATGGGGAGCCTGTGGATGTGCGCATGAATTTATTTTGTATCACCTGCAGACTATCAATGTGTGAAGAACAAGCATGAACCATGTAGGTCTTCTAAAGGGTGACCTTATTATTTTCTGATGGGAATCGTCGTAAGATTTAATTGTCAATTTGGAGTGAAAAACATCTACTTCTAGTGAAGACGAATGCGATGTTTTTGTCTTTGTCACTATCTTTTATCGGCGGAACTATTTGCTTAAGGAATGGGCTGGTTTTTACAGGCGTGTTATAATGGAGTCCTGGGATCTTCATGACGAATGAACTGTGGTATCTTCAAAGAGGGCTATAGTACTTGGTATTATTTAAGTATCGGCATATGGATCATGTAGAGAACTAAGATATATAGCCTCGATAGGGCTGAGAGAAGAGTGGATGTTAATTGATTGATTCATCCTGTCTGTCACGTTTAGTTCGAACCACTTGTAAATCAAAACGTTGTACCAAAGAAAATAACTCATAAAAATGACGGAGGTTATATAAATAAAGAATCTCAATGATCCAGTAGTTGAAATAATTATCAGATGTAAAGGGTGTACGTAATTCAATCTTTCCAGTTCATTTATTTTCAAGTTTTGTAAAATATTTGTACATCCATATTGTAATGAATCTTTTAAAAAGATTTTAAATGAATATTGATTTCTAATTGTTTAGAAGAACACTTTTTTAAATTATGTTAGTTTTTAATTTTAACAGCGTTGTCAGATCGGCTAATTTTGTTTAAAAAAAGCCCTTTGAGAAGATCTTGAACCTGAGTACCTTCTTTAAAGCACCAATATAATTTAAAATACTTGACCATACAATGTTAAAGGTCAGCTTTAGAGGTCACCTTATTGCGTCCTGACTCATGCTCCATCAGATAACCTTTACCTAAACGATCCTTCAGCATGTTATTCTTGAACATATTATCAGTTCGACCGATTCGTTAAATAAAAAAAGAATATTATTAATTTTGATACTTTTAAGGAAAAGAAATGAGTAAGCCTCATAATAAATAGACATTAAGATGTATTAGAAACAGGACAAAGTATGTGTTAAATCACTGGGAAACCAATGATATAAATGAACACTATCATATAACATAACATTGAATTATATACGATGATGTGACATAATATTTATTAATGAGAAGTTAGAGTATCGTCGCATATAAACAGGAAAAGATGATTATTTTACTAATGGATGTACATCTTCTGTATAGAAACTAATCTATGATATGTTTTATAGGAGAGTATAAATATAAAAAATCAATATACATATTTATACACACAATATGATGTAATAAATCGAAGACTATTTTTAACATGAGATTTTTAGAGGTTTCAGTCTATAACATGCGTTAAAAAATTATTAATCAATATATATTCTATTTACCTTATATCTATTGATTGTCTTTACAATATTTTTAAGATATAATTGTTAAATTGATTCATAGTAAACGAAATGGTTTCTTAATTTTTGTTTATTCCTACATCCTTCACGAAAATATCATAAAAGTATTTAAAGTAGACCTTATACATTATAACATATGAAACAAATATTTTAGCTTTAATTATTATATTCAATTTTCAACTATGTAGTTGAAAGTTAGCTAGATCTTTTTTTTATTAACCACTTTTGAATGTTTTAATGTTTTTGAATGTTTTCAAATAAGTCATACAGAGATACAAGAAATTCTTAATAAAAATAAAAATAAAATTTAATGAAATAAAATAAAATAATTATATTTTTATTCTATACAATTACCAAATAAATATTAATTTATTAAGTTTCTATCAATTATAATCCAAGACTAGGAAGTGACGATACCTGTTATCGGACCTAAAAAGATATCAATTTTGATTGGATCATATTTTAAATGAAATATGCAATATGAGTTATATAACATTGGTCGTCGTGACGACACTGAATGTGAATTGTGAGCTAACTCTATTTATTATCAAATATCCGCTGTCCGACCAACTGTATCAGAGGAACGAAACGGAGATAAACTGATAATTGACTTAACCTTACCTAGGAGGCAATAACAATTCTGACATAGTAAAATATACCGTACATTTACACTAATAGAATAAATTATATTTATAAATCTTTTTTGTCATATGAAAAATAAACTATTTGAATTATTATTTCTATGAAATATGATATGCTTATGAGCACCTTAGAAAATCTCTAGAATAATTTTCATGATAGTATATATACATACAAGTACCATTAAATTAAATACAAATAAATATTATGCTTTCAATTAAAAATTCGCTCGATAAAGTATTATTTTCATTGAATTAATTTAAAACAAGAATAAGAAAAGTACTTAAAAAAACTAATTTTGAGTGAAAATAATAGTTTGAAACCAGAATGTCTCTTTGTGAATGTATCATGAACTTTTTATCCCCTATTAAATATTGTATGATAAAATCTATTTGGGTATAAAAAAGACGGTTCGTAAATCTTCAGGCTTTTAGCCTCCATTAATCATTTTTATTGACCTGGTAAATGAAGCCTGTGTGACGGGTTCAATATTTCGGGAGCTTGTTTACGAACAATTGAAACCTTTGTCCCCTGTCTCATGTTTTACAAAAACTTTATACTCGTTGAACTATTTTATTTTAATAAAAGTATTAAATCCAGAAATAAAGATGCAAAAACAAAGTTCATTATATATACGAAGAGAATGAATTAGAGGCATACTATTAAAAATGATAATGCTAAAAAGAAATGCTTCGATCATAAGTTACTTGAAATGTCTTATCAATTAAATATACTCGTATGATTGATTGTGATATGTTTATTTCAATTAAATCAATCTAGTTCCTTGTAGTGAACATTAATTTAAATGTCGGTACATTGGCATCAAATACAAGGCCTGATGCCTTTTCTAATTCTTCCACTGGTAATTCGTAAAATGTCTTCCACTTATATTTGTCAGCTGCTTTTTGAGTTCCTATTGAAGTCATCCAAGCACATGTCATGTCTATGTTACGGTCAATACAAATCTCTTTTCTAAAAACATCATAAAACGTAGGTTTTATAAAAATTCAAAAACATGTTGGTAGTTTCATAAAATATTTTTTTCAGCAGACTCATGTAATTCTAATGATACATCCATATTGGATGGCACTAACTAATAAATATACCCCCAAATGACTCCAGAGAGAACATTGGGATATAACTACCTTAGTCTTACAAATTCACTGGCCATGCCCAATCCCCTTTGGTCCGGTCGAACTATAATCCCTCTGCCTTCGAAGTATGATTGATAATCTTTGATCTTTATATCAGAATTTAGTTTTATAACATTGAAAAAATCCTGCATCTCCTTTGTTTTTTTCTCAAACTGAAATCAGATTATCCCAATATATTCTTTTTGCTACTTATCATTTATACTAAGCTATAAAAATAATCACAGATTTAAATATTAAAAATACAGATCAAGTTTAATCAAAAAGTTTAATTAAAACAGGGAAATTTAATATTGTCCGTAACATTGTTGATATGAATTTTGTTCCTCACATCCAACTTATTTATTTCAACTTAATAAAATATTTGGATCCATTCTGAGCATAAAATTACATGGAAACAAACTGGGAACAGTCTCGATAGATTTAAAATTCGTATTAAATCATAATCTAAACAATATAAAAATAATCTAAAAATAATTTGGATAAACTAAAATACTGGTAAACTAGCATTAAATAAAATGGAATATTTTTTTAAATTATATTATCAAAATAGGAAACCTAAAATGTCCATTTCACAGAAAAGAGAGTCCAAAATAAAATTAAAAATATTGAAATTGATTACGATACTTTAAACATTACCTACCATTTTAAAATCAATTTTTTCTGGCTGATCTTTAAACTCACATATCATTGATAAACCAAGAATGTCGATTGTTTTGGAGTCATCATCTAAGCAACACACAGTTATATGAATGGGGATCATATCGTAATAATGAGAGATAATCGCCCTGTATTCCGCTATAGCTTCATCGTTTTTAAATATTCCTGAAAACAAAGCAATCATAAACACAAAAAATCACTTACAAAACGAATAGTTATAGGGTTCATTATAATAAATTTTTAAATATTATATATTAATAATTAATAATTACCTGCCGCTTTATGAAAAGCTTCATCTTTAATGAAGTATTTCGAACAAAAATCCAATATCTCATTTTTATTTTGATCCCATGGAAAATCTTGAAAACGCAATTTAACTTCACTCCCATCCTTTCTCGTTACATTTAGTCTACTCCACACTTTACTAGACATCTTTTTTACTAATGATGCAAGAATTAATTAATTTTAAAAACAGTACTGTGTGCCGAAGTATATTATCTAAATTTGAAGACTAACATGTCACATTATAGATAAAGTAACAATGGTATCTTATCATTATAATAAGAATAAAATAATCTCTAAATAACATACATCAGAAATACTATTTGTTTGAGCTCTTTCGTAAAAAAGAACGAATTTTCAAAAAAATTATGATTTGTGTCCCACATTAAGAAAACTGACTGTTTCACATTGTAAAGAAGAAAAGACTATTTTACGTATAACAAATGCACACTAAGAAATAAAATAACAAATTTATATATGTAAAGAATTAATGAACAGCGATAAAAAATACTTAGAGACATGATAAGAGCTAACCTCAGAAACAATTCCAGGGTTACTCAAGTTCAACTTAAGACCTAATTTTGTTACCAATCAGGTTTTTATATTTCAAGTGTTAGATAAAACTCAAAGCCTTATCTTTAAACATATAAGGAAACTCAAATAAAATTTTACTCAAAATATTTGCGTTATGTAAATAAATCAATCTGGGTAAAACCTATGTGCACAAATTTGAAATATAGTGAAAGGGTTCTGGGTATGGAACATCGCAAACGTACATTTTAGAAAAGAATGCAAAATTTCTAATATTAATTCAAGTGTACTTCAAAAAACCTAAAAGTAACTTAACTTTGATATGCATTCTACTATCACCTCCTTAACGAATTAGATACATATGTATATATCGGCGCTACCAGCTTTAATAACGGATGCGACTTGAAAATAATTTGAGGCTGTCATCAATTCTTATTAAACCTCATTAGTATTTATGATTATTGTTAAAAGTAAAACGAAATCAAAGGAGAATAGAACTATGTTTGAATCTTGTTATAAATATGACGTCTGGATGCACGACGGCAGATTTGAGAATTCAGAATTGATACTCGTAATTCAGAGTTCAGTGAGTGTGTATCATTGAAGTATGTTATTATGAAGAATCTTTGAGAAATACAGGAGCATTAAGATCAATTGAAGTTTCATTTTAAAATATCATGGACCGTACTAGAAGAAGTGACATTTGTAACGTCAGCGAGGGTGGCGTCCCTCTCTTTAAAAACAACGAATGTGTAATAAATCCGATATATACATTATATAATATATCAACTTATCCTCGTAACTCGCTGTGATTTACATTGTTCCGTTCCCAATTTTTAATTTTTAAAAGTATTTGAATAAATCTTTAATAGGTCGCTCCTTGACTAAGCCCGATAAATAATCAAATTTTTTAGTAATGAGTAGTATATTTTTGCTGTTTTAAATTTATTAACTTAAAAAAAATATTGATTTCCTTACTATAATACTGACTTTATTAAACATATCCACATATCATCATAACATTGTTTTATTCACAGTTAAATGACAAGGCATATTCTTAACACACCCATACATACATACATGTACTATGTGAGACAATGACTAGCCTGTACAACCATGGTTAGCCTGTGCAGCACTGATGAGCCTCTGTGGCAATTGACTAGCCTGTGTGGCAATGACTAGCATGTATGATAATGACTAGCCTATGTGACAATGACTAGCCTATGTTGCAATGACTAGCCTATGTGACAGTGACTAGCCTGTGTGACGATGATTAGCCTGTGCGACAATGACTAGCCTGTGGGGCAATGACTAGCCCTAGTGACAATGACTAGCCTGTGTGACAATGACTAGCCTGTGGGGCAATGACTCGCCTAAGTGACAATGACTAGCCTGTGCGGCAACAAATCGCCATTAAGGGACACACTCATGTTAGTGATATATTTTGTTTGACCTTATGGTATATATATTTTTTAGGAAATATTTCATTATATTTGGACTTATATTTTGGAACCATACTAATTGAATAGCATAGTAAATCTGACTAGCTTAGTTTCAGATTTTTGAAAAGATTACATTATCCGAACAAATAACAAATAACAAAAATACAAAACTGTCGATGAAAGTAAAAGTTTTTAGAGTACACTTGTGTTAATGTTAGAATCATTGCATCCTTTCTAAAATGTACGTTTTGCGATGTTCCATACCCAGGATCCTGTTCTATATTCCAAATTCATACACACAGGTTTTGCCTAGATTGTTTTATTTACATAATGCAGAAATTTTGAGAAAAAAAATATTTGAGTTTCCTTATATGTATAAAGGTTTTGAGTTTAATTTAATATTTTATATATCAAACTTGATTGGTATCAAAATTAAGTTTCAAGTCGAACTTGAGTAACCTTGGAATTGTTTCTGAGGTCCTATTTTAGGATATCTCAAAGTATTTTTCATCGCTGTTCATTCATGCATTATTAAAATTATCTATTGTTACTATTTTATCCCTCGGTACGCATTAGTCATGCGTAAAATACTGTTTACTTGTTTATAACGCGAAACAGTCACCGCCTTTAAAAATTTATATTTAATTTACTTAAGGATATATTTTTTATATGTGAGATGGGAATCACTAATTACCACTTTTATAATTTGTGTATTTTTTATTTATGTTATTTAAAGATTATTTTTTTGCATATCATCATGATAACATAACATTGTTTCTTTATTTACCATGTTAATGTTCTTATATATAGATATTCTACTTGGACACACAGTTCCTACTGTTCTCAAAATTAATCAATTCTAGAGCATTTACTAACGAAAATGTCTTGTAAAGTATGGAGCAGAGTAAATGTTACGAGAAAGGATGGCAGTAAGGTTAAATTGCGTTTTCAAGATTTGCCATGGGAACAACATAAAAATGATATACTAGATTTTTGTATGAAATACTTCATTAAAGATGAGGCTTTTCATAAAGCGGCAGGTACTTAATACATATATTAACATATCTTTAAAATGTATTACAAGCCCCGCCCCATAACTGTTCTTTCAAAACGTGATTTTTTGTGTTTGTGATTGCTTTCTTTCCAGGAATATTTAAAAACGATGAAGCTGTAGCAGAATATAGGACGTTTATTTCTAACTATTACGATGCTAGCCCCATTCATATAACTGTCTGTTGCTTAGATGACGACTCTAAAACTATCGACATTCTCGGTTTATCTATGATATGTGAGTTTAAAAATTATCCAGAAAAATGGGAGTCTTTTAAAAAGGTAGTATTTAATATATTATTATATGTTCTTTTGAAACAAATTTGATTGGCTTATAATTGGCTTTATAATCCGAGCAAAGTAAGATTGAGAGTTCCAATTTTTATAATATAATTTAATAAATTATCTTAGGATTATTCGATTTTAAACTTTAATAGTGTTTTTTCAGCAGCATATACAGATTTTAAATTATCTAAAATATTTAATTTAAATTAAATATATTTTTTATTTTGTATAATAAGATTTAAGGCCTAGTTTCGTACGCTCAAAAATGTAAACGTTTATGTTAATAATTTTGTAAATTAGTTTTAAGTTTCATTTAAGTGAATATTTAATATTCTTTATGAAACAATAAATATCTTAAACCTCAAAATATCGAAAATATTTAATAGCAAATAAGTTTTTACCGATCGAATCTGTTCTCAGATTGATTCCAAGTAATTTATTAAATTGAAATGAATAAGTTTCATGTGAGAGAATGATCATCGCGACAATGTAACTGACCATATTAAATTTAGCTGTTTTAATTAATAGATTGAACTTTATGTGTTTATTTATGATTTTTTATATTTAGGTCCGTTATTATTTTTAAAAATAAAATACTAGCTTAATATAAATGGTAAGTATAATGAGATAATGTGAATCCAGGTTGAGAAAAAAACAAACGAGGTGCAGGATTATTTTCGTATTCTAGAACTAAATTCAGATATAAAGATTAAAGATTACCAATCATTCTTCGAAGGCAGAGGGATTATAGTTCGACCGGACCAAAGGGGATTGGGCATGGCTAGTGAATTTGTAAGACTAAGGTCGTATTATTATTATTATTACTATATGTGTGTAGGTGTATCTTCATGTTCTCTCTGAAGTCATTTGAGTCTGAGTTTAATATTGAGTCCCTTCATTTGGATTTCCCATAAGAATTAAATTAATCTATTTTATAAAGATAATAATATCGTAATAGATAATAATATCGTGTTTTTTATCATTATATAACGTTGCATCTTGTGATGGTTTTAGAAAAGAGATTTGTATTGACCGGAACATAGACATGACGTGTGCTTGGATGACGTCAATAGGAACTCAAAAAGCAGCTGAAAAACATAACTGGAAGACATTTTACGAATTACCAGTGGAAGAATTAGAAAAGAAATCAGGCCTTACTTTTGATGTGAATGTATCCATATTTAAATTAATGTACACTACAAGGAACTAGATTGATTAGTAAAAATGAAGATATCACAACTGATTATATGAGTATATTTAATTTCTAGTAACTTATTATCTAGACAATTACTTTCATCATATCATTTTAATAGTATGCATGTAGTTTATTATTTTCCTATCATATATAGTACATTTATTTTTGCATTTTTATTTCTGGATTTAATACTTTTATTAAAATAAAATAGTTCGATGAGTATAAAGTTTTTGTAAAACATAAGACAGGGGACAAAGGTTTCAATTGCTCGTAAACAAGCTCCCGAAATATTGAACCCGTCACTGAGGCTTCATTTACCAGGTCAATAAAAATGATTAATGGAGGCTAAAAGCCTGAAGATTTACGAACCGTCTTTTTATACCCAAATAGATTTTATCATACAATATTTAATAAGGGATAAAAAGTTTATGATACATTCACAAAGAGATATTAAACGCTTTAAATTGAATATGTAATAATACGTTCTGGTTTCAAACTATTATGTGTACTTCAAATGAGTTATTTAAATATATTTCTTATTCTTGTTTTAAATTAATTCAGATTCAATGAAATCACTTTATCGAGAGAAATTTTAAATTAACGTATTAAATTTTGTTCATATAAAGTATATAATTAATTCATATATATTATCATTTTTAAATTCTCAAGAGACTTTCTTATTTGGTGAAAAATTAATTTAAGTAGTTTATTTTTAATATGAGTAAAAAATATACACATTAAATTTAATTTACCCAATAAAAGTGCAAATATACTATGTATTTTAGAATTGTTATTGCCTCCTAGGTAAGGATAAGTCAGTTATCAGATTATCTACGTTTCGTTCCTCTGATACGGTTGATCGGACAGCGGATGTTTGATAATAGAGTTAACTCACAACTCACATTCAGTGTCGTCACAACGACTAATGTTATATAACTCATATTGCATATTTCATTCAAAATACGATCTAATTTAAAATGAAATCTTTATAGGTCTGATAACTGTTATCGTCACTTCCTGGCTTTGGATTATAATTGATTGATAAAAACTTAACAATTAAATATTTATTCAATAGTTGTCACAACAGATTATGGATAAAAATTTAATAAAATAAGATTCTTATTGTATATTATTAGATTAACTTATTAATAAAATATGAATTATAAAATAATTAGAGTAATGGAATGTAATTAAATTGTTGTCTCTAACATCTTGTCATGACTTTTGTTGGAATGAAGTAAGTTTTGATTCAATTTTAGTGTATCCCTTCAATTTTTTCTATTCTAATTATCTTTGTTAAATGCGAAACCTTAGATTATACTCGTATATAAAAGTTATGTTACTGTTTGGAACAATTTTCAAAACTGAGTAATAAAAAAAGATCTTAGTAATGAACAATAATATAGTTGAATATAATATGTAAAGACAAAACATGTGTTTCTAATGCTTTAATATCAGGTTTATAAAAAAATAATAATAAGTGGACCTCGTTTGCAAAGAGTATTATTTTCGATATTGGACGGATTTTCACTTCATCTGTTGTAAAACACCGTAAAGACAAATCTATATAGTATATAAAAGAAAGTCGTGTTAGTTACTCCACTTATAACTCAAGAACGACTGAACCGATTTAGCTGAAAATTGGCGGGGAGGTAGTTTAGAACCAGGAAGTTGCAATGGGATACTTTTTATCCCATTCGACAGCATTCCCGTGGGACTTGACATGAAACGTCAACCAACTAGCAGATTTATATGAGTAAAAAATACCGTTTTTCATGTTTTGTTATTATTTGTTATTTTGCCCTGAAATATTTAGAAAGTTTTTTATGTTTAAATGAAACTAATACATATATTCGGATTACTACTCGTCATTGTATTATTATTAATAACTACACACTCCCAACGTATCAAGTAACTTGCAGAAACCGTCATCACGGGCAGACGAGACGTAAATGTCTGTCTAACAGTGGCAAGCCGGGCGGCGTTTTAGGTGAACGTTGAGACAGTAGTAGTCGTTACTACAATACTAATACACGTCCAGGAGCTTGAGATATCATCTCCTTTCAACATTTAAAAGAAATTGACGCCCTGAAGAGAAGACGATTACTTCAACTTGCTTCAAGTGTGGTGAACGAGGTATTCAATAGAGAGTTCTGAAAAATATTTCGTTTTTATAACAAATAAGGTAGTTCCTTTTTGAGGTACAAAAGTAAACAATTTCGAAAGTATAGATTACGACGTTCCTTATCGTGAGAAAGAGCAATTCATGACTTTACTGAAAAATCATTCCGATTACATTGTAGACAAACTGATAGTGCTAGCATAGGTCAGCTGATAAGTAAAGTAATCGACATTAATTAGACTCTCAAGTTCGAAAGCATATAATAGACATCCTAATCTCGTGAAAAACTGGGTTCAGATGCCAGTGCTGAAGGTTATGATTTTATTGAATTTGACTTAATTTAAAACTAAAATAACAAAAATATTAATAACTCACTTTTAAGTGTTAATAATAATTTGAAACCAAATCATGTTAATATTTATTTAATTTGAGTATTTAATATATCCTTGTAAATATATCATAAACTTTTTATCCCTTATTAAATATTGTATGATAAAATCTATTTGGGTATAAAAAAGAAAGTTTGTAAATCTTCAGGCTTTTAGCCTCCATTAATCATTTTTATTGACCTGGTAAATGAAGCCTCTGTGACGGGTTCAATATTTCGGGAGCTTGTTTACGAACAATTGAAACCTTTTTCCCTTGTCTCATGGTTTACAAAAACTTTATACTCGTTGAACTATTTTATTTTAATAAAAGTATTAAAATGAAACGAATATCTCATCAAAAGTATTAAATCCAGAAATAAAAATGCAAAAATAAAGTGTACTATATATTATACGAAAAGAATAAATAACATGCATACTATTAAAATTACACAGTTACTTATAACTGCCTAGATAATAAGTTACTAGAAATACATATACTCGTATAATCAGTTGTGATATCTTCATTTTTACTAAATCAATCTAATTCCTTGTAGTGTACATTAATTTAAATATGGATACATTCACATCAAACGCTAGGCCTGATTTCTTTTCTAATTCTTCCACTGGTAATTCGTAAAATGTCTTCCACTTATGTTTTTCAGCTGCTTTTTGAGTTCCTATTGACGTCATCCAAGCACATGTCATTTCTATGTTCCGGTCAATACAAATCTCTTTTCTAAAACCATCACAAGATGCAACGTTATATATAATGATAAAAAACACGATATTATTATAACACTTTTATAATAAACTTTATAAAATAGATTAATTTAATTCTTATGGGAAACCCAAATGAAGGGACTCAATATTAAATTCAGACTCAAATGACTTCAGAGAGAACATGAAGATACGCCTACCTTAGTCTTACAAATTCACTGGCCATGCCCAATCCCCTTTGGTCCGGACGAACTATAATTCCTCTGCCTTCGAAGAAAGATTGATAATCTTTGATCTTTATATCTGAAGTTACTTTTAGAATATGGAAAAAATCCTGCACCTCCTTAGTTTTTTTCTCAATCTGAAAGCAGATTATCCCAATACATTCTTTTTGTTACTTTTTTTTTATGTATATTAAGCCATAAAAATAATAACGGATTTATATATAAAAATATAGATAAATTTTAATTAAAACACCGAAATTTAATATAGTCCGTAACATTGTTGAAGTGCATTTTGTCTCTTATTCATTTCAACTAAATAAAATATTTGGGTCCAGTCTGAGGATAAAATTACTTGAAATGAAATAATTTGGATAAACTTAAATACTGGTAAACTTGCTTTTAAAAAAATGGAATAAGTTTTTTAATAATATTTTCATAATAGGAGACTAAACTCTTCATCTTACGGAAAAGGGAGTCCAAAATAAAATTTAAAAAAGAATGATGACCATACATTAAACATTACATACCATTTTTAAATCAACTTTTTCTGCTTGATCTTTAAACTCACACATCATGGATAAACCGAGAATGTCGATAGTTTTAGAGTCGTCATCTAAGCAACAGACAGTTATATGAATGGGGCTAGCATCATAATAGTTAGAAATAAACGTCCTATATTCCGCTACAGCTTCATCGTTTTTAAATATTCCTGAAAGCAAAACAATCACAAACTTTAAAAATTACCTACAAAAGGACAGTTATGGGGCTTATAATACATTTTAAAGACATGTAAATATATTAAGTACCTGCCGCTTTATGAAAAGCTTCATCTTTAATGAAGTATTTCATACAAAAATCTAATATATCAGTTTTATGTTGTTCCCACGGCAAATCTTGAAAACGCAATTTAACCTCACTCCCATCCTTTCTCGTAACATTTACTCTGCTCCATACTTTACAAGACATTTTCTTTACTAAATACTCAAGACTTGATTAATTTTGAGAACAGTAAGTACTGTGTGTCCAAGTAGAATATCTATACATATATAAGGACACTAACTTGTGGCATTATAAATAAAGTAACAATGGTATCTTATCATGATGATACGCAAAAAATTATCTCTTAATAACATAAATAAGAGTTAATATTTATCTGAGATCTTTTGTTAAAATAAACAAATTAAAAGTCGTTTCCGTTTCACGTATAAAAATATATCCATAAATAAACAAAATACAGGTGGTGACTGTTTCGCGTTATAAAGAAGTAAATATTATTTTACGTATGACTAATTTGTACCATGGGATAAAATAGTAATAGTAGATAATGGTACTAATGGATGAATGAAGAACGATAAAAAATATTTAGAGATGCGATAAGAGTTAACTTCGGAAACAATTTCAAGGTTACTCAAGTTCAACTTGTGACCTAATTTGTGTCAACCAATCAAGTTTTTATACTTCAAGTGTTAGATAAAACTCAAAACCTGATATACGTCGCAAACGTACATTTTAGAAAAGGATGCAATGTCTCTAACATAAATGTAAGTGTACTTAAAAAAAAACTAAAAGCTTTTCCTTTCATCGACAGTTTTGTATTTTTTTTATTAGTTTGGATATGTAATGCAATCGTTTCAAAAATCAATAACCAAGCTAGTCAAATTTATTATGCTTTATGAGAATCCAGTTATTTTTCTATAATATTTTGATAAATATATGGTATAAAATAAATTAAACTATCACATCCTTGACGAATTTAATATACATTATTTTACCCAGAAAGTAAGAAATATTCTATATAATGATAAACAAAACAAACTTTTAAAATACGAACTATACTCTTGCATTATCAAGATTCAATATCATACAAATTCAATAATAATACCCGAAATATTACTTATCAAACATCAATTTAGGTCACCTTGTTTGAGTTCGTTAAAAGTGTTGTTTTAAAGATCGGATTCGACTGATTCGTCCGGTTTGTGCTACGCATTAACAAGTGTTGTTTATTATATAATATACCAACTTATTCTCGGAACTCTCTGTATGTTTTGTTATTAATCAGGAATATACTTTTGCTGTTTTTTTTAATATAATTTTTTAACTGAAGAATTGTTTTACATATTATATCGATTTCATTATTATAATAAAGACTATGTTAAATATATTCACAAGTCATAATATCATTGTTTTATTATCAGTTAAATTACAAGGCACATTCTTAAAACACATACAAATATATATGGAATGGAGTCTGAAATGAGAGAATCATTTTCCATTTCATTTAACATAATATATATTTTTACTATACATATCAAATCACTGTGATAAGCTTTAGAGTCAGTGATTAGATACTATGGGAATAATTGATTTAGCTTAACAAATGTGATATGAATCGCTACTATATCATAGTAAGTACTATTGTTTCGACCTCGTACCAAAAGTTTGCTAGCTACCAAATTTAACAGAACATAAATAATAAAACAGTGAACAAAAAAATATCATGACATTTTATTTTTATAACTATTAACGTACTTTAACAATGTTAATCACTAGTTGTATACATTAGCTTAAAAGTTGATACACTAGTGTCGAATATAAGTCCAGTCTTTTGCTCCAATTCATCTACTGATACTTCCGCAAAGGTCTTCCAACCGTTTTTTTCGGATGCTTTCTGTGTGCCTATAGATGTCATCCAAGCACATGTCATTGGCAAACTGTGTTCAATACATAAAGATTTTCTAAAAAGATAGATAGACAATAATTTAGGACATTTAGTTAATGAACTTGATATAATTTTGAATAATATTTTTTTTATACATGTCTATAGATATTTGTACATTACCTTAACCTAATAAATTCATTAGCTATCCCCATTCGCCTATAATCTGGTCTTACAACAACTCCTCTACCTTCATGACTTTTAGCATAATCGTTTTTCGAACCTTTATACTCGAACAATACTTTGGCGGCACCAAAAAGATTCTTCATTTCCTTCGTCTTGATTTGTAACTTTAATTTTAATAGTTTATTTTAATACATTTATACTCAAATATGCTTTACCCACAAATCTACATAAATTTACTTACTTGCTTGGCAAAATCGTCAAAATTATCGGTATTTTTGGACACTATCACTATAGATAACCCTATTATTTCACCAACAGTATCAGAATCGTCATCAATACAGCATATACTAATGTGATGTGGTTGTTCCTCATAGTATATTTTAGATATTTCCATAAATTCGGCCTTGGCTTCGTCATTATTTACTATACCTAAAAATAAACATATTCAAAAAAATGCCGCTAACTCAAGCCAGGCAAATGATCATTAGCATCATAAAGCAGTAATAAAATGTAATACCTGCGGCTTTGTGGAAAGCCTCATCTCTGAGTAAATGTGTCATTATAAAATCAAACACATCTTCCTTACGATCTGCGGGAGCATCTTGAATCCGGAATTTAATGACACTGCCATTTTTCTCAACTTGAAACCGACTCCACACTTTAAGTTTCGATTTTTCTGACATTATAATTTAGTTATCGTATAACGGGTCACTGTATAGGTCCAAACACAGCGATGAGCAAACACTCTCTGAGAGCAACGCTCTATTTCCTCATCTACTTAGCTAGCGTCATTGTCATTTACTATTCATTAATTTACTAATGACAACAATTCAAAAGCATTAAACTATTTTCAAGAATTCATTAATTCCCAAAATTATCTAAATTTATATCGTTGCAAAAACGTAATTAAATATTATAGGGTAGTTACACTATTATCACCTTAAAAAAATATTGAAATAATATCTCTTTTAACTAAAAACTGGTACAAATGAAGATATAGACAGGATTTAATAAATTATTAATTGTTACTCATATTATTTATATACACTACACAAATTAATTATCATTAATATGGTACACAGATGGCTGGTAAAGAAGATAGTGATTCGTTTTGTAATATCTCGTGACATATTTTAAATAACTTCATGATTTAAGTAGAAACGCAATACAAAGACAAACCGGTTTAAGGCCACAATTTTGTTGGGAGTATAATACTCATTCTCGCACAAGATAAAATGAGACATGAGGATAAAATATAATTATATATTTAAATGTGAGGATAAAATATAATTATGTATTTAATTTAAAAAAAAACTTAAAATTTTAAAAGAAATTCTATAAGTACTATACTACAGATTTTAGCGAGGTCACATTCATACATATAAAAGTGTCTGCTTTTTATCCCACCCAGTTGCGATATCGGTTGGTGTAAATACGCTTTATAAATCAGAAAGACATACTTTTATTAAATTACCTATAATTGCAAATATACACTTCATTAATAAGAAATAATTAATTGAACAAGTAAAATATAGGAAAACCTAAATTCAGCAGTACACTCGATACAAAAATGTGTATAAATTGTAAAGTTTTATATGATTTATAAAAAAGTTTTGTAACTTTTCTGTAAGCTGTAAATTAGAAATAACTTAGCAGATATTTTTCTATATTTAAACGTTAAAAAAGTGTCAAAATATCTTAGAAAAAAATATACAAACATTTTACAAAGTTAAAAGCTGCTAGGAGCAAATGTTTTATTCACTTGAGTTCGTACATTAAATAAATATGTAAATGTTTAGCTTACTGAAAGCAAAATTTGTAAAACCTCAAAGAAAACAAAACTTTTACAGAAATTGTTAAGTATTTTTACAATTACTTAAGGAACTCCGGCCCAAACATTCCCTTTTTATCTAATTTTTAAGAAATTCACTTTTCCACGGCAAAGGTTCAGTAATCAGTTTTGATAGTTGATTTTAAGTTTCAGTAAACTATTTATTACTTTGATTTGACTCGGGATAGGAATGCCTTACGAAAACAACTTGTTTCTTTAAGGAATCATAAATACTACTACAAAAAAAAAGCTTTTTAATTTCCTAGAGTAAAAAGAAAGAAGGTTTTACCGTTTTTTTGCTGCAATTTAATGTAATGAGTGTGAAACTTAAATTATTTAATATTTCAAGAAATTAAAATAAAACTAAGCAGATTTTAACAATTTACATGTTATCCACTATTAAAATAAAATACTAAGCTGTGAAGATTGATTACAATACTTTTTCTTTAATTAACAAAAAAGGCAGTCAATCAAATAACTCTAAAGTTTTATCAAACGTATCTAAGAACAAGATAGTCAAATTTACAAGTCATTAATGATTCACAAATTGCACAAAATTAAATTAATATAAATTTAAGTGGCCTCCTTATGTTTCAATATGTTTAAAATTCAATTCTGTACTTTATGATTTTATCAACAAAAATATATAACTACTGCTTAATATAAAAAAAAGAATGAAGATAAATTTTATATCATTTGCAATAGGGTTGCAAATGGTAACAACATTTCAATGTTACCCATATATGAGAAATAATAATATGAAATAATTTTAACGATTCAACGAATGTATATGACATCATACATCCATCCATGCAACAATACATCCATACATCCATGAAACCATCCATTCATCCATCTATTATGACCATGACGATGATGACAATGATGACGACGATGACGATGATGACAACGATGACGATGATGACGACGATGACGATGATGACGATGATGACGACGATGACGACGATGACGATGATGACGATGATGACGATGATGACGATGATGACGACGATGACGACGATGACGATGATGACGATGATGACGATGATGACGATGATGACGATGATGACGATGATGACGATGATGACGATGATGGTGATGGTGATGATGATCATGATCCATGAACGGTAATACTCTCTCTATCTATTTTCACTAACTAATATCTCCCTCTCCCTTTCATTCGCGTTGCACTCACGCACTCATTTGTCATAACGCTTCCACCAGCTTACCCCCAAGCATGAGTAAAGAAATTTTACTTCATTATTATTTTGAAACAAAAACGCGTCATATTTAAATTCATTTACATATTTACATTGAGTTTATTGAGGTGGAAAAGCCTAGCTGTGATCAAGTTACTACAGCTCGAATATGGGCTGGCTCCACTGGGGAAGTACCACCTTATCACAGAAGAGCAGTGTAAAGTAGTCTTTAATAGCTACGTTTTGACCGCTAAGGGAGTAAGCCGGTTGCCCTTGCCGTTTTCCCACCGTTTCCTGACCTTCCCTTTTCCCTCCCTTTCCCACCTTTTCCCCTTATTCCTCAATCAAGGGTGGCAACATATTTATTATTTATTGCAAATATATGTGGAGGATGTCTATGGGCGACGAAACTACCTCAATCAGGTAGGCCTTCTGCTCCGGTGGCCCCTTTAGCATAAAAACAAGAGTATTTAACGTCTCCTTGTGAGTGCAACTTGAACTACTTACCCCTTATCCCCCTTATTAAATCTTGTATAGTAAAATCTATTTGGGTATAAAAAGACAGTTCGTAAATCATCAGGCTTTTAGCCTCCATTAATCACTTTTATAGAGCTGCTAAATGATGCCTGTGTAACGGGTTCAATATTTCGGGAGCTTGTTTACGAACAATTGAAACCTGTGTCCCATCTCATGTTTTACAAAAACTTTATACTCTTTGAACTATTTCATTTTAATAAAAGTATTAAATCCAAATATAAAAATGCAAAAATAAAGTATACTAGACATTAAACGAAAATAATAAACTACAGCCATACTAATAAAAATGATACTGTTACAAATAATTGCCTAGATCATAAGTTACTAGAAATGATGTAAATATACTCTTATAATCAATTGTGATATCTTCATTTTTACTAAATCAATCTAGTTCCTTGTAGTGTACATTAATTTAAATATGGATACATTCACATCAAAAGCCAGGCCTGATTTCTTTTCTAATTCTACCACTGGTAATTCTTAGAACGTCTTCCAGTTATGTTTTTCAGTTGCTTTTTGAGTTCTTATTGACATCATCCAAGCACATGTCATGTCTATATCTATGTTCCGGTAGGTTTTATAAAAATAAAAAAAACACTATGTTATTATGTACTTTCATAACATTATTCCATTCCATACACATATATATGGAATGTAATCTCAAATGAAGATAATTATTTTCCATATCCTTAATATTTTCTATTACGCATATTAAATCACTGTGATAAGCTTTAGGGTCGGTGATTAGATACTATGGGAATAATTGATTTAGCTTAACAAAAGTGATATGCATCGCTACTATGTCATAGTAAGTACTATTGTTTCAACCATGCAGCAAAAATTTGCTATCTGCCAAATTTAACAGAACAAAAATAATAAAACAGTGACCAAAACTATCATCACTTTTTACTTTTTTCACTATTAACGTACTTTAACAATATTAATCACTGGTTGTATACATTAGCTTAAAAGTTGATACATTAGTATCGAATATAAGTCCAGTCTTTTGCTCCAATTCATCTACTGATACCTCCGCAAAGGTCTTCCAACCATATTTTTCGGCCGCTTTCTGTGTACCTATAGATGTCATCCAAGCACATGTCATTGGCAAACTGTCTTCAATACATAAAGATTTCCTAAAAAGATAGATAGATAATAATTTAGAACATTTAGTTAATGAACTTGATATAATTTTGAATACTAATTTTTTTTATACATGTCTATAGATATTTGTACATTACCTTAACCTAATAAATTCATTAGCTATCCCCATTCGCCTATAATCTGGTCTTACAACAACTCCTCTACCTTCATGACATTGAACATAATCATTCTTCGAACCTGTATATTCGAACATTACTTTAGCAGCATCAAAAAGATTCTTCATTTCCTTCGTCTTGATTTGTAACTGTAATTTTAATAGATTAATTTTAATTATTACCGTCATACATTTAAACTCAAAGCATATTTACCCACAAACCTACATAAATTTACTTACGTGCTTGGCAAAATCGTCAAAATTATCAGTAGTTTTGGACACTATCACTATAGATAAGCCTATTATTTCACCAACAGTATCAGAATCGTCATCAATACAGCATATACTAATGAGATGTGGTTGTTTATCAAAAAACATTTTAGACATTTCCATAAATTCGGTCTTGGCTTCGTCATTATTTACGATACCTAAAAATAAACATTTTCAAAAAAATGCTGCTAACTCAAGCCGGGCAAATGATCATTAGCATCATAAAGCAGTAATAAAATGTAATACCTGCGGCTTTGTAGAAAGCTTCATCTCTGAGTGAATGTGTCATTATAAAATCAACCACATCTTCTTTACGATCTGGGGGAGCATCTTGAATCCGGAATTTAATGACACTGCCATTTTTCTCAACTTGAAAACGACTCCACACCTTAAGTTTCGATGTTTCTGACATAATAATTCAGTATATATATAATATAAAGGGTCACTGTATAGGTCCAAACACAGCGATGAGCAAACACTCTCTGAGAACAACAGTGTATTTCCTTATCTACTTAGCTAGTGTCATTGATATTTACTATCCATGAATTTATTATTGTCAAAAAATTCGTATAGCATAAAAACATTACACGATTTCCAAGAATTCACTTATTCAAAAATTTATCAACTTTTAAGACGTGTTACACTATTATCAACTTAAAAGTTGTTGAAATATGATTTCTTTTAAATAAAAACAGGTACAAATTAAGATATAGACAGAATTTAATAAATTCTTACTCATATTATTTATATACACTACACAAATTAATTAATATGGTACAAAAATGGCTGGTTAAGGAGATAGTAGTTATGTAATATCTCTAGATATATTTTAAATAACTTCATGATTAAAGTAGAAACGCAATACGGAGACAAACTGGTTTAAGGCCCCAATTTTGTTGGGGGTACAACACTCATTCTCGCACAAGATAAAATAAAATTATATATTTTAATGTATCCATAACAGATGTTTGAGTTAGTATTCTAAAAAATTCTACTATATTCATTAACTTTTATGTATAATTCTATTTTAATACCGTATTCATCAAAAAGAAAGCTTGTCATCAATTATAAAAACTTATTATTATTCATACTTATTGTTAAAAGTGAAACGAAATCAAAGACTGTTTAAAAGGAGAATAGAACTATGTTTGAATTTTGGTATAAATATGACGTTTGGACGCACGACATCTGAGTTCAGTGAGTGCGGATCATTGAAGGATGTGATTATGAAGAAACTTCGAGAAATACAGGAACATTAAGAACAATTGAAGTTTCAATTTAAAGTATCATGGAACGTACTAGAAGAAGTGATAGTCGTGACCTCAGCGAAGCTGGCGTCTGTCTCTTTAAAAAACAATGAATTTGTAATAGATCCGAAAAATAGTATATTGCAGATTTTTGCGAAAACACATTTAGATAAATGCCGGCTTTCTTCTTATGTTGGTGTAAATTAATCAAAATTTGAAGGTAACTTGAAAAAAAATGATAGGCTTTATATATCAGAAAAACATACATTTATTTATTTACCTATCCTTTCAAATACATTTCATTAATAAAAATAATTAATTGAACAAGTAAAATATCATCATCATCATCATCAGCCTATCAGAGACCAAAGCTGAGCAAAGGCCTCTTTCTCACATGGAGAAGGTTTGAGCATTGATCACCAGGCTTGTTCAATACGGGTTGGTGATTTCAAACTTTTAATTGTGAAACTATAAGTTCAGGTTTCCTCACGATATTTTCCTTCATCTTATGTCAGTGACAATTAAATACTCTCAGAAAGTCCATATGACTCCGAAAAATCACATTGGTACTTGTCAGGTTTAAAGCCGCGCCCTTGGCAACGAGAGGCGTGCCTTTTAATCACTAGGCCACCACTGACTTAGTAAAATATAGGAAAACCTAAATTGAGTAGTACAACTGTGTACAAAATGTGAATAAATTGTAAAGTTTAATTTAAAACCGTATAAAAATATCTTTAAAAAAAATACAAACATTTTATAAAGCTAAAAGTTGCTAAAAACAAATGTTTTATTCACTTGAGTTCTTACATTAAATAAATATGTAAATGTTTAGCTTACCGAAAGCAAAATTTGTAAAACCTAAAAGAAAACAAAACTTTTACAGAAATCGTTAAGTATCTTTACAATTACTTAAGAAACTCCGTCCCAAACATTCCCTTTTTATCTAATTTTTAAGAAATTCACTTTTCCACGGCAAAGGTTCAGTAATCAGTTTTGATAGTTGTTTTTAAGTTTCAGTAAACTATTTATTACTTTGATTTGACTCGGGATAGGAATTCCTTACGAAAACAACTTGTTTCTTTAAGGAATCACAAAAAGGCTTTTTAATTTCTCAGAGTAAAAAGAAAGAAGGTTTTACTGTTTTTTTGCTGCAATTTAATGAAATAAGTTTGAAACTTTACTTTTTTTGAGTATTTCATGTAATTAAAATAAACAAAGCTAAGCAGATTATAACGCGTTAGCCAGTATTAAAATAAAATACTGAGGTTTGAAGTCTGATAACAAAATTTTCTTCATTAATTAACAAAAAATCTAGTCTATCAAATGATTCTAAAATTTTATCAAACGTATCCAAGAACCAGATGTTGAAATTCACAACTCATTCACAGGTTATAAAACATTCTCAAACAAAAATATTTGTAAATTAAATTATTATACATATAAGTGGCCTCCTTATGTTTCGTTATGTTGAAAATTCAATACTGTATTTATATCAAAAACATATAACTACTGTTTAATAAAAATCAGATTGAAGTTGTGACGTAATATAATTATTTTTTTATTACTTGCAATAGGGTTGAGAATGGTTACATTTCAATGTTTTCCATTTATGAGAAATGATAATATGAAATAATGTTAACGATTCAACGAATGTATTTGACAGATCCAGATTGCTTTTAACAAACAAAGGAAATGTTTTGTTATAATACTCTAAAATATGGAAATATACATACATCAATCAATTTCAAATTTAAACATAGATATGCATTATACAATATAACAATGTTTCATTAGAAATTAAATAAATTAAAAAATAAAAAGCTTGAAGAGTGTTAATTAATTAAAGGATTAAAATAGCAAATTGAAAAAGGTATTTAGGATAAACGTTCAAAGTAATCTCATTATACCTCGAAGACGTTTGTTTGCTAGCTCGTTGACACCTTTCAGAAGGGATTCCCTTTCATCGTATATTCGTAATTAAATGAGGGCTAACAAACGTCTCTAATGTGGTTGTATCGTACTAGGCCTTTACTTGTACTCTCGACGATTCGTAATTATAGACTGAGTGATTACTTATGTAACTCTTACATATTTTATTTCATATATAAAATGTCAATAATTTTTTAATTATATTATTTAGTTGCTCATAACTTTGGAATACAGATGAAAATTCTTTCCTATTTTAAATTCTTCCTCATAATAAATTCTGTATATGAAAACCTGTATGAATATCTACATGAACGAATAAGAATTGTCAGCAACTATACAAATACTAATTAATTGAGGTAGAAATAATCAAAGTACCTATATTTTAATATCTTCAACTTAGTTCAACAATGCAGCTAATTTTGTTTCCTTCTGTGAAACAATAGAACGCTAAAGCTCTTTTGTATTAGAATAAAACAAATGATGTTCTTGCTTTTAAAGAATTTCTTGAATTAGAAGGTGACTATATCTGCTTAAATATAATTTTGTCCGATAAACTGGACTAAGATCTTGTTTGCAACCGTGTAAATGTGTTTTGTATTTGCTTAGTGACACGGCATAAAACAACGGGCATGAAACAAAAGATTTCCTACATCTAGATATTTATCTTTTAAAGCCAATAAGATAGAAACTTACTTTTTTAATACCAATATAATGCTCAAACATTACAATACAAATGGAATCGTATTAATGAAGTTTTCAACCACAGCTGCTCTCCATGAAATGAATTCTTTAAAACAAGTTACTTAATTTACACTATTCTAGAATAAAGATTCTACTACAACTCATGATTGCTTGATAAAAATATAATGTGAATATTGTTAACAAGTTCGGTTCGTCAATAAATTGAAATAGATATATTAAGATATTGTCTAAAATTTCATTTTGTATTTTAAACTAATTGGAACATTGATTTATATAAGAGATAATTTGTCCTTACTAATTATCTTTGAGAACATCAAACAATAATAAACGATTTTATACAAAATTAGTGAACCGTTAACTGTTAGCTCCAATTGCTGCTTAGCGACTGGAATAACTCAATTTTAGCTTGACGTGAAAGCAATTTTTTAAATATTGTAAACGAGAAATCATGAAATTTCACGATCGGACTAACTGGTGTATTTAAGTAGAAAGCAAATGTATAGAGAGAATCAATTACAGAGATTCAAAAGAAAACAACTTGAGATAAAGACAATGTAAGTCAAAAATGTAAATTCACCGAAAGTCAATCTCCGCATCGGATTCATTAGTCGATATCCGTTTTCAGATGAACCTTCAGATTGACAATCACTAGTCCATTTCCACTCTTCGTGTCCACCTGTCGCAGTTTGAAATTAAATCGATGCCTTTGATTCCCCGGCCTTCGTTTAAATTAAGATCTCTTATTGGCAATATGATTCCTCTTACAGATTTAATTAAGTATTGCCTTTAGTAATACAGGTTTTTTTTATTAATTATTGTACTTCAAAATCTTATTTTTAAATATGAATGAATCTTAATTTCAAATCATCGTAATCACCATTTCCAAACACGAAAAAATTTATTCTACTCAAATATTAACGAGACATTTTTTCATTCCACACACGAGAACTCTGAAATTTAACTTTGATTAACACCGAGTTCAAAAGTAATAAGATACAAACATTAATTAAAATCTCAAAATAATTAAAGGTTCATGTGAGATTCCAACGTAATTATTAAGGTTTGTGAAAACTTTCAGAGGAAGTTTTAAAGGCTGTGTCGGCATTCATTATAAAGTTTCAATCAGATTTTTAGAAAAAAAATAATTATTATCATATAATTTTTATCAAATTTAAATATTTTACTAGATATAAACGGTTTGTCAGCATAACTCTGCTTCATAAATAAGAAAATAATTAATCTGAAACAACGGCAGGATGATCAAAAAATTATAATTATTCTAATTTAATAAATAATAATACCTTTAATTATCGTCAAAATATATATTTATATTCTTTTTATCGAGATAGACGTATTTACCTACTAAAACACGTCGAAAGTCAGTGAGAGTAAAAAGAAACTTAAATTAACGTCTTTAAAAGAATAATAAACAAAAATTAAATAATATATATAGTGCAGCTGTCGTCAGAAAAATATTTGAAAATCAATGATTAAACGTGAAATTATTGCTTATTGATGATTTATAATTGTGAAA